ACACTTTAGAGCCAAGTGTTGTTGTCGTTGTTTTTCTGTTTTCCCTAAAAGGAATAAAACAAAATATACTAATGGGGAAAAGCTCCCTTTGTTTCTTCAATAAAAGTTGCTCTGAAATAAGAAATACAGAATTTCTTTAGGGGAGGAAAAAAGAAGCCAACGAATACGAATATTTCTTTCCACAAAAATAACAAATAATTGTGTAGTATCAAGTATGCAAGGTCTTTATAGATTTTTCAAGTCTCAAGCCAACCCATCTTCCCAGATTTAGGATTTTTTAACACAAAAGACACATGTATCCTTGTTGTATCCAGGTAACTTTTGTTTTTTAATTCAAAACCATAGTTCCTAAATTATTATAATCTTCAGTTTACTGACTCTGACTTATAACTGGACAGCCATTGGCTATTATTATTTTGAACTGTGTCTCTTAGAGTCAACACTGCATTTACCAAGTATTATTTGAAAATCATCCAACTGTCAAAATCCAGAAGGTAGTACATTTTTCCTAACAGCAGTTTGGGAAAATGTTCATAAATGATGCCATGTGATTTACTATTGTAAATACAGAATTTAGAAGAGCAGAGTTAAATATAATATACACATATATTTTAAAATAATCTACAACGATATATATTCTACCCTATGACATTTATACAATGCCAAGATTATGTTTGAAAATTAAATAGTATTTTTAGTTTACCATATAATGGCAAATAATCGCCTGAGATTTCTCCCACTAAATTGACTCTTAACACAAGTTGATCACTGATATCTGGCTACGTAAACTCAACCTAAATCTTATTAATAAATGAGGCAAAAATAAAGTATTTTCTATATTGGAAATTATGACAACATTATACTTTAAAAACCTTATAAAATGTAGTAGCTTGAAGCATTGCATTGACTCAAAAACCATGAAGACTTCCTCTGCACTTTGGTAAAAAGTTGTAATTTGATCAATAAAGATATTTAGGAACATAGGGTAAAAAAGGGAAATTTTGAAAATGTTCACCTTCATTTTATTTCATAGGTCACTGTTATACCATCTAATAAGATAATTAAAAACATGCAAGCAGCTGGTACTACAGCTAAACAGATTAATGTAATAGTCTGTAGTCATATGTGCTGGCAAGGGGCTCGCCTCTTTGGCGAGGAGAAGGTCAGCTACCCTTGGGAAGAGGAGGAGGAGCAGTGGGAAGAGGATATTCCTTCTTCCATGTGGCCCTGTGCTACAGTCACTAAGTTAAACGTCTACTGCAAACTGCTAATCAGAAAACTACTTCTCTTCTTTCATACCCAGCAAGGTTCTCTCAGTTTAATGGTTAAATGAGAAATAAAAGGAAGCTCATATAATTTGACAGAAAACATTAACACTGGACTTTAAAAAGTACAAGATACATTTCATAAAATTAATAATGTCTTCCCAATTCTTCTAAATTTCCATTTTAACATGTCATCTGCAAATTAGTTGGGAGATGTACAATCAAATTTTAATCCAAACTTCCAAAACAAGATCTGGTCTATTACTCAGGCATCATATAATCATGCTGATGCCTTAGGAGTTAAATGCAGCTGTACTCTATCTGACTCAATGAAGCAAAACTACAAAAGACACAATCCAAATTAACATCTCCTAGTCTATGAAAAACAAATCTATGAGCATTAGGCACATAAAACTATAGTTAGGGTCCATCAGTTTTAAATTTCAACTCTTACTTGTCAAAGCTCCACAAATCCATCCTTGAATTTATACTAAAATAGCTGCGTTTTATTTTTACTAAGTGTACAGATTTGTTATACAAAGACAACCTAGAATACTACATCAGAGATTGAGTTACAAACCTCAAGTTAAGTTTGTTCTTAGCTCCCTTTCTGCTCATAGACAAAGTTATTTTCCTGTAAGAAACATTTTTTCTATCACTTTTGTGTCTTTATATTAGAGCACTTTTAAAAAATTCTACAACACCCCAAGATTAATGATGATGACAATGATAATGACACAGACTAGAAGACAAAAGCAGCTAACGTCTATTCAGTGTTTACTATGTGCCATTCTCCCATTAAGTCCTCATTACAACTGTATTTTATCATTCCCACTTCAAAGATGAAAAACTGAGGCTGAGACTTGTTCAAAGTTTCCACGGTATTTGGAGCCAAGATTTGACTCAACCCATTATGATTAGATATCATTTAAAACAAAACAAAATAAAGACTACGCCCTCTTGAAACTGACAATCTAAGACAAGGACACAATAATACAAACGATGGAAAGGATATAAGTTTGAGCGACCAATTGAAGACTGAATTTACAAATTAATAAAACCTCTACATATGCTACAAAGGGTACATGTTTTAAAGGGTTAAATGAAAGTTAAAGAAACCAAGTTGCCAATTTACATGGGTAAAGCACCAAAGAATTAATAACAATAATACCATGGCTTTTTTCAAAAGGCTTTTATTTTACCCATTTTATCTCAGTCTTTAAAACAGCTGTGAGAAGGAAACCTGTATAATGCCCACTTTACAGACGAGAAAGTAAGGCTAATCTTCACCCTTAACACAGGGCATATAGTTTGGATGTGCTGGTGTTAGGCTTATGGCCTGAGCTGTCTAAATGTGAAGAAGGGTTAGGATTTTGGAGGCAGTTTAAATAACAGACACAGAATTGTTAGGCTAAAAGATGTTTAAGGATTGGAGTTCCGGTACTTACATTTTTCTAATAACTTATTTCTAGTTAGTTTAAAAGAGCTACAATGGCAAAAGAAAAATAATTTTCATTTTCAAAAGTAAATTTTACTGGCAATTCTGTTGCCATTTTGGTGTAATTCTGTAACCATTTCTAGGTTTTGTCAGTTAACTTTAATATGAAAACATACCCTAGAGCTGTGCTTCTATGAATTCTGCATTTAACCTAAGTGTCAAATTCACAAGTAGCTCATTATATTGTAAGAGCTATTGCCTACTGAGTAGAAAAACACTCATTTCCCACCTTAAATATACTATAATACTATTTAATAAAAGCACTGGCCTTCCAACTATTGAAAGCCTGCTTTTATAGACTGTACTACCTGAGGTTTTATCTTGCCTTTTTAATTACAGCAATGAATTAATATCCTAACACTACAATAGTGACAGGCATCGACTAAAAATATATTCGTTAACAACGTTAGTATTTATTGTGCAAAGCTGCATTAGAAGTTCATTTTCAAAATACAACTATCATTCAATAATACTAAGATACTTTAATTTCAAACTATTCAAGGACAAAATAAACTACAGGGTAATATCATGCCTTCACATTAACACATTTTTCTTAACTTTATATTATGCCCATTTTTTACCATAATTAGCTAACTTACAAATGTAATTGTAAAATATAATTTGCCAACAAAATTTATATACATATGAAGGGATTTTCTTTTTTCTGAAACACATCCTTAACTTCTGTTTTGGTTATTTTTTATAGTATTTATACCTAATAATGATATTACCACCATAAATTTTACATATATTATCATATTAATATTTCTCAGTTACATGCCAGATCATGTATATTTATTTAACTATCTATCTTTCTTATTCATTTTTTTGGGGGAGTGCCACAGTTGTGTCCTGTTCAGATGAAGGATTTTACCTATTATTTATTATGTCAAATTCAAGCTTTACACCACGCTTCAGGACAAAAAGAAGGATTCAGAGAATCCCAACATTTATAAGGTGGGATGGGTACAGTGAAAAATAAAATGAAAACATCTGAGGTGTACTGCTTTGATAATATCCTACCAGAACACTATGGGAACATAAGCCTTTTGTAGGACCTGTTATACCTGAACAACTGATTATTTACACAGACTCCACCTAGTATAAAATAAAGATGTCAAGTGTTTCAATCGCCATCCCATTTCTGGAACTCATAAACAAACTGTAAAAACCTTCTCATTTACCACATTCTCACTAAGTGCCCAATGTACGTAAGACCCTTCTCTAGATGTTAAAAGGCTGGATATGAAGAAACAAATGACGCAGTTTCAATTAAGGATATAGAATATATATACAACTAAAAATATAAACTATCTAAGCGTAAATTTCATGTTGATTATATAAAAGGAGATTCAGCTTGATGTTCCAATGAGTTTCCAAGTGTAGAGTAGTTCTTGTGTACATTTCATAGTGTTGTTACACAAGTATCAGAATTAATGAACCATAAGGACAATGTACTCCAAATTAAAACACTTCTTTAAGAATTTGCATTGCCATCTGTAATGCCAAAACGTATCATTACTGGATCTGTATTTATTTCTGAGGATAACTGAGTTCCTACACCGCTTTGGTTCATCATATGAATTTTCAAATATTATTGGGAGAAGTATTTTAATCGTTCTTCTCCCTAGAATTACCTGTTATGCGTGTACAAAACCCATAAACATTTAACTCAAGCAAAATCCAAGTTATGAGGAGAATATTAAAATACTAGGTAGATACATGTTTTCCGAACTTAGGTATCGTTTTTTAAAAACCAGTAATTGAGATGTAACTGCGCTGTCTGCTGAAGAGCCAAATGAGACATTAACAAACAGCACTTAATTTAACCATGAATTACATTTTAAGCTCTCTTAGGCTCTCATGGGCAGTACACTGTGTTTTAGCAGAGAACTTAAACAAAAGAAAGTCATTAGTAGTGTAAGAAATATACTGAACAAAATAAAAACAAAAATGGATTATAATGAAGCTTAATACTACATGTACACTTATGCCAACTACCCTACTACAGAATAACAGATACCGAAAGTAAGTTCATTTCCTAAGAACTTAGAATGCTGCATTTTCCATTACTCATTTAAGTCTGTAGAACTATTTCATATCACAATATTCCTTATATTTGTCATATTTTTTAAGCACAGGCAGCAGTTCCTTACTATTCTAAGATTAGAATCTTATAAGATTATGTATCTTGTACATTTTTTGTAAGATTATGTATCTATGTATTCATCACCTACCTATAGGAATTAAAAGTCCCATCAGAGTCTGAAGTAGAACTTGTTCTTCCATTTTTATTGGCATCACCTGAAAAAAAAATTTAAACAATAAATAACAGAGAGTCTAAAACTGAATATTTCAATTAAAAAACTACTGTGTGACAGTTCTACGCACTATATTGGTCAAAAATCATATACCCTCTTATTCCTCCCCCCAAATTATCTTTTGTAATCAGGGCCTTGTATTTAAAAAATTCATTTTGATGCCAAAATATAAACCAATTTACCACCACTCATAAACTGAATAGTAATACAACCAAAGTAACTGCTAACAGGAAGAAATGAAGTACAGTACAGGCATTTTCTTTTTATGAATTATATACAAAGCTAAAATTTATAAATCATTTAATCATACATGTATTTAATTATACACTAATATTTGTAAACACAGCAGTTTTTTTTTTTAGTGACCAAGTCACCCATGCCACCCACTACTACAAGGAAAAGAGAACAGGCCGAGAGCAGCCCTGAAAGGTTTTCCAGCCCTCATTTCCCCATTCTGTAGGAATGTATAGCAAGCAAAGAAGTAAAACAGAAAGCAGACCTGAAAGATGGTAAATAGGAATGCATTTTAATGAGTTTTTAATACACCTTAATATTTCTTCTAAAACTGTATGTTTTAACTGTAGTCTAAAGTTCGATAGTTTAAAAAAATGAAAAGAACAACAATCACATCAAAAGGTATGTGTGTCTCCTATAGTAACATCAAGCATTTGGGAAAAAAGGCATTTTACTCAAGAAACTGCTATATTCATAAAATCAAATTTGGAACACATTCACACCTGTCAGTTTAAAGACTATAGAATAAAAATAAGTTTACTACAGAAGTTGAAAAAAAATGTTTACCAATGGCTCAATGTAAAATATATATACTTATTGATAAAAATTTTAACAGTTTAAGTTTTTAAAGTATATACGTCAAAGTCTAGTTCTTATGAATCCACAGTTTACTACTATTAAATACATCATTTATTCTGTGAAACAAATTAAAAAGAAAGACTAGAAACTGATTACACCCTACCAATTCCTGTAATGTAACTTGCAGCATCACATTATATTCATTTCTATGATATTTAAAGCTTAATAATTTAATGATTTGTCCAATTTTAATTTATACTTTTAATCCTCTTTGAACACGCCAGGGTGCCACTGGAGATCATCACAGTGGTCCTGGTTAAGTCAAACAGTAATTACAGAGCTTTCACTTTAAAGATGAGATTATTTTTAATTATTGAGTATAGCACTTAAGGTAGCATCCTTATATAATTATGCTACTCATTAAATGGTTATTGAAAGCCGAAATGTAATTTTAATGGCAGCTACCTATTTTTCTTTGCACATTTTATAGTTGACAGATTAGTCAAGAACGCTGGTGCTCTTCAAAATCTTTGCAGCTGCGCCGAAGTGTTCGGGAGGACATGAACGGAACTGAGCCCACTCACACAACTTTTAACTACCTTTTTTTTTTTCAAAATACACTTACAGGGTTCTTTTTTTTTTTTTTTAAACAAAAATCATAAAATGTATTACAACACTAGAAAATGGTGTGAATTTTACAGATGAAAATAATCCAAAAACACATAAATGTTTAAAAATCAGTCTAAGTGATTATATGCTGTTAATTCTTTGAAAACATCGGTAAGATTACACATACAACACACTTCACTTTCTTTAAAAACCACAACTATTAATGGTAACATAATAAAATAAAAAATAAAATAAATTAGTAAAGGAAAATTTCATACAACACATATTGTTTAACAGCTTGCAGGCATTTCCTGTGAAACATTCTGTAATCAGCATCGAATAACCACTATATCATACATTTAAAGTCTGAGCCTTATTTCTCCTTAAAATGAAAAATTATGATACACAAAACCTCACCAATAAAGTACTTCTTTCTTGATACTGATATTTATCAGCTTACATACAAAGTCCCTCAAATAATTAAGAGACTTTTGATTTTTTAAACCATCAGGTTTTATCATCATAATATATTACAAATATTTTCTTCAGTTTATAACTGTCTCCACATGAATATATCAACATTTAATGTAACCTTCATGGTGTAAAGGATGGTACTAAGGAAAAAAAGCAGGTTTTTTTTTTTTCTCAAAAACATACCAAATAAGGAAGCACAACTGTTTCACTAACAATATTAGAGAAAAGATTTCAGAGTTTGCTATATGGGGAAAAGGCAATAAAGTTCTGAAGCGGGAAAAACGGCTTTGTTCCTTCAATCCCCTAGCTGAAATTAATTATAGCAAATGTTTATGAAAACATCTGTTCCTTACAGTTATAAATTCTTAATTTTAGTTATGGGCGATTCCAGACTCTTATTTTGGAAGGAAACTAAGTCTGACAATTGAAAGGTTTACAAAAGAACAGAGAGAATTTGCAATTCTGGAAAACTGCATATACAGTGTGCTATGTACTGTAGAAGATTTTCGTTCGTGTGAAACATTTGCAAGAGCTTAAAACCGATAACTAGGAAAAACTGAAGAGAAACAGAAAAGGTTCATCTTTCATTTATGTTGTCAGATGATAGAAACACATCTGTAACACAAGAAAACACCCACTAAGAACTACAGCAAATGTTACTTTAGCGTTCATTCTAATTTGTGGTAAGTAAAATAAGCTAAGTATTAATTTTTTCAGGCATTTTAATAAGTCTAATGACAATACAATCATGGAAACATATGTGTAGTGTTACCCAAAAATAACAACAGAGGGTGGAAGAGAGTTTAATATGATATTTCTACTTGCTGTTCTGATTCTTGAAGGAAGCTGTCAGGTAGCCATAACTGTTTAACACAGGCTCTTTCTCGACACATATACATATAAATACATCATTAAAGTCATTTTACATAAAGACCTTTAAATGATCAAATAATACACACATATAGGTGTGTTTTAAGGTAACAGACTTCCTTTTACTTGCCTGAAAAGTAATTTAACTCATAATAGACTAAATTTTTAAAATATAGTGGAGATTTTAAAGGTATTTCAATTTTTAATATAAATTAATAATCTGTATATATTTATTTAGTAATTTTTGAATACATATATAAAATACATGCAATACATAACATATATAGCAATATACATATATGTGTATAACATTATACAACTGTATATTTTCAAAAGCCGTTTCTTACAGTTGTGGCCATTACAGTTTGAAATTTACATAATACACCTTTTTTCATTAGTTGTAAGTAACTTTGTAAAATGAGATCATAACATTCACAAGTAAAATAAGTTGGTTGATATGAAAAAGTATGCTGATAGTCATATTGTTTTAAATGTGGATACAAAGAGCACAGAATTTCCGAAAGTAATTTCTAACATTTATGTATATAATTTATTAAGCCAACAATATGTGTAATTGTGACTGGGATTTCAAAACGTGATAAACGGAATTCCGTATTCTCTTTTAGCTTTAACTGCAGTCATGTTTAGCTAAAGGCATTTATGGTTTCTATCTGTGCACTGCTGAAATCATGCTAAGCGCAGGTTTACAATAGATTTCTAGAGTGCCTTTTATGCACAAACATCTGCTTCATGAAGGGAGAACCACAGATTTTAAACTAGGTTAAGTTAAAAACAGCCAGGATACCACTATAAATAAGCACACCTACTCAAATATGTCTTCAGTTTACAACTAAGAACATCAAGTTTTAGAGTGTCACATCACACTAGGTACGGATTCTGAAAAGTAGTACAAAATAAAGAAAACATCTTATCTCTGAGTTGTTGGACGATCCTCGTCAAGCGCATGTAATAATTATCAGATAGTAAGGGGGAAAAGTCTGGGTTCAAACCAAGTTGAAAGCAAAGTTCAGAGAAGTCACACTGTAAATGTGATAGGATAATATTGCATAAGCAAACACTGTAAAGACCTAAAACCTTTTGTGTCTTTTAAATGAATTAGCATATATTACTGAAATTTTGTTAAATTTAAAATTCCATATAAAGTCATTTTTAAAAATTTATGAATAAAGTATATTCATAAAGGCAAACATAATGACTCAGCATCATCCATGAACACAGTGGCCAATGAAAATATTAACCTATGTCAGGAATCAGGATAAATATTGGCCTCACTAGGCTGATTATTCAGGGTAAAAACCTTGGGCCACCCATGAAATCTAATAGTCCTCAAGTCAATAGAGGCAGTTCATTATTTAATAATTTTCCATATTCTTTACTATTGTTAATTTATCTAACATTCTAATAACTTCATGGCCATACTTAGTTCTCTTAATCAGATTTTCAAATTATTATTTTAAATAATGATATATCAGATGTAAAAAGCTAAATACATAGAAACTATATTGAATAAGTAACATTTTCAAGTCTACAGTTTTAATTTAAAAATATAATATTTTTGTTATTCTTATTAAATCATTAAGAGAATTCTTTTAAAAAAGGGGAGTGGGAGCAGCATTATACACACAGTTACATTCCAGTAACGGCTTAAGGTTGCAACTTATAAATACAACGAAAATAAATGTGTGTCTGTGGATGGACAGATAAATGGTTGGATGGCTGATAGGTAGACAGATATATGTGTGTGAGCCTATATGGGTTTAGCTTTTAAGGAGAAAAAATATGCTGCTGCTGATCTTTGGTTATAGTTCGAAGTACTTTCCAGGAAGAAACACTGAGTCAGTAAAATTAAACTACCACATTCAGTTTAAATGACACTATGAAGTAAGAGTATTATAACATCACAACTAAAAACTCAAGCTCAGGCAAGACAGACCTGAGTACACGCTCCACCATTTACCTGCTCATCTCTCAGTTTCCTTACCGGTAAAATGGAGACAATAACAGTTTCTATCACAAAGAGTGATTATGAAGATTAAATGAGATAAACCCATGTGAACTACTTAGTGCAGCATATGGCACAATGAAAGTCATCAATAAACGTTACTAATCATTATTATGAATGCTTTGACTAATTTTTTTTATAATACTGTATCCAGTAGTAGAACAACAGTAAAGCCCATTAGTACTACCTAAGGA